CCCTACCAGGTCTCCCACACCCACCTCCCCACCAATTTGGATCACTTGTTGTTACCTTATCCCTGGGTTTATTAACACCTCTTCCCTTCCCCCCACCTCCCCCTCTCCCATGTCCCCCTGGAACTTTCAGTCCCGTTGCTTTCTCCTCCAGATTCTTCATCCGGCTTGTCCTATCCAGACAGACCTGCGGAGACAACAACATGCACACAAACAAGACAGAGCAAAACCAAGCAACAATATATAACAAAACAGCAACAAAATCAAGCCACTGACAAAGAACAAATTAAAATATACCAAGAAAGAAAAGCTTGTGCTTTCCAGTCTAGCCTGTTGGGCATCATGCCCTGTCCCCAATGTCCACCCTTATCATTCCCTGGGGATCTTGCCGCTCCCCTCTCCTGCTGTTCCACTGCACTCCCCCAGTGCTTTGCCCCAGTGTGGCGGGATCAGATCGGGTGGAATTCCCACACTGTATCACTGGTGTTGTCCCCCACAGGGCCATGAGTCAGTGAGGGGCATCATGTCTCATAGTGGGGCTGGCCATGAGTTCCTCTCTGTGGACTGGCCGCTCCACCTCGGGCCATTGTCCTCAAGACCTGGTGGGCCAGGATGTGCTCAGCTCATTTACATCATCATTTCTTTTGTGCTCTTTTGTTATTTTATGCTCAAGATAAAGTTTCTCTTCTGACATCCATTTTTGTCTTTTCTCTCTTTTAAAATAAACTTTTATTTTCTTTATATATCATGTCCTTCAATAATTTTTGAACTTTTCATCAAGTCTTTTCTTGAGATGATTTTTAAATTTTAGTGGGGTATATGTTAGGTCATACTTTGGCTCTCATACATTGGTTTTAATATTGTTTAGCTTCAATATGAACTTGCAAAAGAGCAATGTTATTGTTCCATACTTGTATTCAATATGATTCTTGCATATTCCATTCAGTGGTGTACATGTATATAATCTTAGATTACGTTGCTGAAAATAAGGCATTTCCAATGAATAGGTCATTGGTCTTACACAATTTTATCACATACTCTTTGTGTCGGTTCTATCACCATGGTTATATTTTCCAACTAATATAAGTCCATTTCAACTCTTGATTGCTCAGGATATTGATCTTGAAGTTTTATTTCTGGCAACTTCAAATTTTCCTATATTAACACTTTATCTATTGCATGTTCAGAGAAGTACATCATGCTTGGTAAAATAGAGAGGCAGAGAAAAAGAGGAAGGCTGTTAATGAGATGGATGGATACCTTGGCTATAGCAATGGGCTCAAACATAGGAGCAATTATGAAGATGTATACAAGACTAGGGAGTGTTGCTATGGGTCAGAACCAACTTTATGGCACCAGACAATAACACATTCCATATTCTGTTTACGAACAAACTTTTTGCAGCTATTTCTTTTAATTTGAGTTGTGTGATACCAGCCAATGAATGCCCTGAGAGCTTTTCTCTTTGGAAGTCATTAAGGTCGACTATCATTTTGAGTGTCTTCCAAATGGAGGAGCTCATCTTCCAGTATTTTATCAGATAATGTTTCCATTTTATGCATATGGATTTTTACTAAATAGTAAATTATAAAATGCTTTATAAAAAGACATTTTCTTGAAATTAAACCTTTAAGGATGTAGTTGAAAGTAAAAAGTCCTTAAACTCTTGCTCATACTTTTTGGTTTAATATCATATATGATTTAAAGCTGGCAAATGTGAAACAAGAAATGTAGTCTGATTTTTTAAAAATCATTTTATTGAGAGATTTTACATGCTTATGACAATCCATACATAAATTGTATTAGGCTTATTTATACATATGTTGCCGTCATTCTTTTCTAGACAACTACTTTCTATTGAGCCCTTGGTATCAGTTCCTCTTTTTCCCTCCCTCGCCCCTACCTTCATGACCCCTTGATAGATTATAAATTATTATTATTTTCATATCTTACACCGACCACTGTCTCCCTTCCCCCATGATTTCTGTTGTTCTTTCCCCTGGAGGGTTGTGTTGATCATTGTGATCGATTTCCCTTCTTGCCCTTCTCCCCGCCTTCACCCTTCCTATCGGGTATCTCTCTTCCCATTCCTGCTCCTGGGTTGTGCGTATTGTGAGATCTTATCTCTTATCTACGGTTCTGTACATGCTCTGGTCTAGTCTGAAGTGAGAGGCATCATTGGGGTCATAGTGGTGGGGGTGAGGAAGCCTCAAGGAACCAGAGGACTATTGTGTGTATCATCGGTGCTTTACTGCACCCTGGTTGACTCATCTCTTCCCTGTAGCCCCTCTATAGGGTATGTTCCATTGTCTACAGATGGACTTTGGGTATGTGCTCCAATCCCCATCATTCTTAACCATATGATTTTGTTTGTTTGATAGTTACGGGTCTTCTGATACCTTTTACCTGGTCCTGATGACACCTCATGCTCACAAAGGCTGGTGTGCTTCTTCCATGTGGGCTTTATGTTTCTCTGCTGGATGCCTGCTTGTTTCACTTCAAACCTTTAAGACCGCACACACTATCTTTTAGTAGGCAGGCACCATCTGCCACATTTGCTTATGCATCCATTTTGTCTTCAGTGATTGTGTCGAGAGGGTGAGCATCTCAGATTGCCAATTTATTAGAATTACGTGTTCTTATATTGAGGGAGGGTATGAGTCGAGGCCCAATGTCCATCCGATACCTCAGTGTATTGCCATATAAATATATGTCCATAGGCCAATACCTCTATTTTTGTGGGTTAA